CCTGCTTCCCTGTCCCTGCTCTTCTCATTTGAGTGACCTGGGGAACTTACTGACCTTCCAAAGCTTCAATTTTCACAGCTGTAAAATGGGAATAAATGAAACTAATAACTACATACCGCCTTGGGAAATTAAATGAGATGATGCATATAGAGAGTTGGTAATATACAAGGGATTCCAATAAAAAGTAGTTATTAATGTTATTGGTACTGCATAAAAGTTTAATGATAATGATGATAGTATTAAGGACTTCGTTATCTTTCAAAAATCACTGGTATCTATTCATTCTGTTATTTGCAAGAATTTCCTAAGGAAATAATCAGAAATGTGTTCAAAAAATGCATGAAAAGGGTGTTCACAGTGCGGAACGGCGCACATGGGAAACTGTCTCCCCCGTTCGCCACGCAGCTACCAAAAGTGACAAAGTATGTACAGCGATGCAGGAAATGCCCGGTTTCGGCCAAACTGAAAAATCTAGCACCACAAGAGCAGAATCTGTTTTCATCAAAAAAAAAGTAGATATATGAGTGTGTGTGTATATATATTTATATTTATACATATGATACATACAGACACACACATGCGGAAAGAGAGGGAGATCTATCAAGAGAGAGAAACAGAGATCCCAAAAACCTCTAAAGAGAATTACTCCAAAAATGGTAACAGTGGTTATCGCTGGATTAAGGGATTGCAGGTGACTTTTTTTGTTTCCTCCTTTTCGTGTATTCGAATTTACTAATTTTTTCTAAAAGTAGCCTATATTACTTGTGTGACGTGTCTGTTATTTTTTAACTCTCTCCCCCACCGCAACCAACAATCATGTCCCTCTCCAAGAGTTAATGATAACAGGCTGTTCCCAGGCCCCCGCGCTTGGGCTTCAAGAGCCTCCAAGGTCACTCAGCTGCCCCCCCATCAACCCTTAGTGCCCATGTGGAAGAGCCTGGTATGAATGGACACGGTGGGTGAACAATTAGCCAGCTCTGGGCAGAGAAACTGCCTCCCAGAAGGCTCACACAGGAACCATAACCTTGGGAATCAATAGGAATGCTCTCGAATTCCCAGAAGCAGGGTCAACTAGAAAACTCAGTACTCAGGAATCGTCACCTCCTCCAGCATGTAATCTGACGGGCTGGATCCGAGGGTCCAGAAAGGGGACAAGCAGATAGGAAGGGACAAGTTTGGAAGACTGGACCCATTTAATCCTCTCTCTCCCGCTCCCCCTCCTCCCCAACTCCTTACCCTCCCAACCCAGCTCTCGCCACTCTCTGTGGGCTCCTCCCCAATCTGTGCCACAACCCTAGTCACCACTGTGGAATTTTCTTCTCTTCAAAAAAATCTAGTCTCTTTTAAGACTCTTCCAGACAGATGACATGGTAAAATGTCAGAAATGAAAATATCATTTTACTCTCACACTTTCCAGTTGAGGCAACTGGTTCAAAGAGATTAATCAACGTGTACAAAATCTCACACCCAGTAGGGGCAGAAGCCAAGATAAGAACTCAGATGCCTTTACTCCTACGCCAGGGTGATTTCATCCTCCAACATTCTACTTCCTGCCATTGACTGAAAGAAAGCCCAGTGTCATGCTTAAGAACATGGGCTCTAAGGCCGAATCCCTGGGCTCAAATTCCAGCTCTGGCACATACCGCCCGTGTGGTCTTGGGTGTCCCAGTTTTCTTATCAGGAAAATGGATATTATAATAGTAACTACAACATGGGTTTGTGTAAAAATGAAATGAGTTAAAGTATATTTAGAATAGGGCCTAGCACATGGTCAATGTTATGTAAGGCTCTGCTATTTTGATCATTTTGTCAGCCAATTAGTTGTGTCTATGGGAAAAGGTCAGAAAAAGGCAGAGATAAACCATGTGAGTGAGCAGACGAAGCGCAAGATCTTCTTAGAAAGCAAGAGCCCTGCACCTCCATCTTCCTTGGGAACGTGGTACGGCCCAGGCCATCTGTCATTCATACCTGAAATATTCACTGAGCCAACAGAACAGAGTTCAGGAGCAGATGCTCACGTATACGGTTACCCGGTTTACAATAAAGGTGAATTTGCCGTGCCCGGAGGAAAGATGACCCACACATACTGCAGGGCCAAACTGGACGTCCACATAAAGAAGAAATGAATAGTTACCCCAACCTCAGACCATACACAAAAGTCAATCCTAGGTGGAACGTAGGCCTAAACGTGCAAGTTAAACCGTGAAGCTTCTGGAAAATAACATAAGAGGGTGTCCTCATAGCCTTAGGATAAGTAAAATTTTCTTAACAGGATATAAAAAGCAATGGTCATAAAGGAAATTTCTGACAAACTGGACTTCATTAAAATTAAGAATTTCTGTGCAATTAAAAAATTAAAATTTTAAAAACAATATAGGAAATAATATTCAACAGGAAAAATTCCTGTGACAATTCAGTCTTTTATCATTAGCACCTATAAAAATGTGCTTCCTCAAAAAAAAAAAGAACTTCTGTTAAACCAAGGCACTATGAAAAGTCAGAAAGCAAGCCTAATTAATTCATATCCAGAATATATGAAGAACTCCTGTAACACAATAAGAAAAATATCAGCAACTCAATTTAAAAAGGGCGAAAGACTTTAACAGGTACTTCGCCAAAAAAAGGATGTCCAAATGGCCAACACGCATAAAAAAAAAGTGTTCAACATAAATAACTATAGAAATACACACTTAAATCACAATAATAAACAACTACACATCCACCAGAACAGTTAAAAAAATAATAATAATGCCAAGTCTTGACAAGGATGTGGAGCTTCTGGAACTCTCTCTCCTATGTTGCTGCTGGAAATATGAATTGGCACAAGTACACTGGGGGGGAAAATGGCAAGATTTTTTAAAGCTGAACATATATGTAACCTTATAATCAAGCAAACCTACTCTTAGGTATATACTGAACGAAGATGTGTTCACAAAGATGTGTTCCAAAATACAAGAATGCCCACCGCAGCATTATGGCACAACTAGAAAAAAACTAAATATACATCCGCAGTAGAATGAATACATACGTTGAGTAGTAGTCATACCATCGAATACAGATAGCAATAAGGATGCCACAGAAAGGGAGCTGTGCAGACAGCCAGAGTTCTGGAATGGTACACCCACCCCCAGGCAGCTGCCGGACACTCCATCCCCAGGCAGAAAACGAGAGAGCAGAGAGAGGCTAATGAACCTGGGAATGCTACAGGAAGGACCACAGAGGAAGGGGCAGGACAAAGAAAGAAAGCAGGGGACTCGGGAGTTGTCTTGGGATGGCTTCCTTCCTGCCAAAAAGCAGAGCTCTGGATCTGGATCTAACAGCCCTGACAAGCCACCTTTGATCCCCTCACAATCTCGCACGTGTGCACCTCCAGGGAACCCGACAAAACTCTGCGCAAAGCTTGTCAAAACAAGGAGGGATGAGGCAGGCATTTGAGGGGAGTTTAGTGTGTGTGTGTGTGTGTGTGTGTGTGTGTGTGTGTGTGTGTGTGTGTGTGTGTGTGTGTGTGTTAAGATATCTGGTACTGTATGTCATTAACAACCAAGTAGTAATTAAGATTTAAAAGTGAGACAAGAAGCCAGGAGACAGAGAACACAGGAGTACTAGGGCCACACCAGCAGCAGGACGGAGGGGGTCTGCCCACCTGTGGCCCTTCCAGTGGTGCCCTGGGGATGGTGAAGTCACTAACTCATGAGACAGACAGGAGCTCACATTGCTGCTTATCCCTTCAATTTTATCTGAGCCACGGTAATATCCTACCCATAGCCAGAGAGAACAGTTGGAGGCTCACAGTTATGGCTTCAAATCCTGGCCCTGCCACTTACCAGGTGAGGAAGCTCAGGTACACTACTCAAGTCCTCTGAGCCTCAGTTTCCTCGCTATGAATCGGGGAAGAACGCCTACCTCCCCCAGCTCACGCAGTAGTGCAGATTAAATGGGAAGCACAGCTCAACACAAAGCAGGCGCCTGAAAACAACTCACATTTACCCGACTTTTCTATGTGCCAGGCACTATCTCCTTCGCACATATCGTTTCATCTAATTCTTGTCACTAATGGCTCTGGAACCCACTTTTCTGGCAGATGAGATTAGACAATGTAATAATCGCTGATCTCATAATCTTAGTCATACAGCTAGAGGCAGCATTTGAACTCGGGCTTTAAACTTTGGAGCACAGGCTCCTTCAATATGTGAGAGCTGTTAAGTCTTCATTTCTGTCAACTTGAATAATTAGCAAACTGTGATTTGGGCACAGACGGAGAGCCTGATGGGAAGACCAACTCTCCGGACACAACAGAGAGACGGATGCAAGGCAGGTGGCCTTTTCTCCACTGGGCAGAGACAGCACCAAGGAGCCCTTCACTCCAGGGGCCTCTCCCACCCCCTCCTCGATTAACTGCTCTGCCCACACTGGCTGGTCTGTCTTCACCTCCCTGACAGACTGCCAGTTTCCTGAGGTTAAGTCATCCCAGCCACACCCTCGGCCCCAGGTTAGCAATTTGGGTGTCCTTTTGGATACAGATTATCATTTCTGACTCCTCTGGAGGGATTAATAAAGTCTTGTAATTATGAGATTTTAATCTCTTTTTAAAAATATAATACACATACTCGGCATGCGCTTACACATGGATGGCTAGATACTTTCCAATGACTACTGCCAAGATTCTAGTTTTTGCTTTAGTCATCTCCCAGCTGAACTGCTGTAATTTGCTCTTGGCCGGTTCTCCATCTATCAGATCATTTGTTCTCTTCAAAATTTGGCCTCGAATTTAAGCATCAACTCTTCCCGGGCCTCTCAGTTACCACTGCCTGCTCACCTGTTGGGGTCACAGGCCCCCAGCTGCTGTCCCAGTTTGAAGGACTTCTCATATTAGTCTCTTAGAAATATGGCTCAACCAGCCTACTTCAATATTCCCCATACCCTGATGCCACTAAATTATTGTTGATGTCATCTTGTCACCCAGAGCAGTTTTTCCATAATCAAGTCTTCAAACCACTTACCTCCCACCTTCCCAACAGAAATATCAGCCATGCTCACTCTCCCTTCACCAGAGATACTCTCTGTGTGTTCAAATCCCCTTAGCCCGCCTGTTACTTTGGCAATCATTTAAGCTTGAAAGCATGATACATGGCTGAAACTATTGCTTAACAAAGCAATAAATCATGTCATCTTACATCATTCCCCTGATCCCATGCCTCAGGCTGCCGGACTCCGCTGCAGACTGTGGATCCTATCTTTAAGGCAAGAACGACGGAATTTCTGCCTTTTGTTTTGTTTTCCCAAAGAAATTTAACATTTCCTGTTATGGGGCGAGTGCTTTCCTATGTTTGCCTAGCGCTCGTTCCTGCCTGCCTTTATTTCTGGCGTCCAAATGTAAATAGCTAACCAGAAAGACTGCAAGATGTATTAGTTTGCTAGGATTGCCATAACCAACTGCTACACACTTGGTGGCTTCAAACGGCAGACATTTATCCTCTCAAAATTCTGGAAGCCAGAAGCCCAAACTCAAGGTGTCCGCTAGCTCATGCTCCCTCCAACGGCTCTAGAGGGAAACCATCCTTTGCTCCTGCCAGCTTTGGGGTCCTCCGGTGTTCCCCAACTCGCAGCTGCATCTCTCCTTACCCCTCTTCCTATCCAGACACCAGCCATTGGACGTAGGGCTCATACTAAACCCAAGATGATGTCCCCTCGAGGTCCTTAACTAAGTACATCTGTGAAGACTCTGTTTCCAAAGGTCACATTGTAGGCAGACACAAATTTGGGGTATGGAAGGGTCTGCCCCAAGCTCTCGGTCTTTGAATGCCCTGCTTTGCATACATCCCCCGTCTTTCTCCATGGGCAGCTGCAAAATGTCTCTTTGGTTGTAAAATATTTTTTAAACTACTGGGGGTATTAAGTTAAGTTTCAGCTGATGTTACAGAAGCAGCTGCTTGTCAGTCTCCCACTCTGTGAAACGGAGCAGCAGTGCCACCCTCTCAGGTGACTGAGGGGCAACCAAGCAAACCGAGGTGAAGGGCCTGCTGCCAAGGACCGACCCAGGGGAGGCGCTCCGGCTGTGGGAGCTCAGCTCCCAGCCTCAAGTCTCAGGCCCGGCATTCCCGACGAACTGAACTCACCCCTGAACAGACGGCAAGTTAGAGCATGAAAATCACATGTTGATCATACCTTATCTGTAAGGTGAGGAAGAGGCAGAAGACAATAGGCCATGAGACTCTATTTCTCTTCACCAGCTTCTCCAAGCTCTGCCCTGGGTGTTCCTCCAACTTTTCCTATCCTCTCCTGGCCCTGGCAGGTGTCACAGGTATTATGCCCATTCTGCAGGAGAAAGAACTGAGGCCGGGGAAGATCGGGGTAACTGGCTTGTCCAACATGCGTGTTAAAATCTTGGAGACCTCGTTTCAAGCCAAGGGCCATGGCGGAAGGCTTCCAGCTGGTTCCGGGGTCTGGACTGGGGCTCCAGATTGTCAGAGGTGCCCTGAGAGAAAGGAAACGTAAAATCAGCAGGAGGTGTCAGAGTCGGGCTCCTCCTACTGAGTCTTGTTTGCAAAGACCAAGTATGTTGAGTCCCAGGCCGTGTCGGATAATGTCACAACAGCAAAGTGAAAATGGAAAATGAAGACATCGAACCGGTTACTTGCTTTCATGAAGATTTTCTTTAAAGATGGGAATGCAATCTATTATTTCTTTTTTTAATTTAGTCACTTCTATTCATACATAGAGACACATGGAATTAGAGTTGGAGGGTAGTAACCAAGCCTTAAAAATAGCACCCCGCCCAGAAGAGAAATGTGATCTTAGGGGTCCCTGAGTCCAGAAAAACCCTAGACAATCCTCTAGCTCTCAAGAGCCTGAAAGTAATTTGTGGAGACCTTTATTTTAATCATTTTTAAGTCAAGAGGAGTCCCTTTTTCTTACCATCCCCTCCTTGACCTGTTTCGGCAGCATCCACAGCTTAGTTTTCGTGTACCAAACCCCAAGGAACTCAGAAAACCACCACAAGGGGTATTGCGGGGGGGCAGGGAGCCCAAATTCGATCTGCTATAACTTTATTTTCAATGCAGAACTCAATAAGCCAACCAACTCACGAAGAAGCAATCAACCCCCCACCCCACCCCCCGCCATTTTGCATTTGTTTTTCTGTCTATTTTGTGGCTGCTGGTTATGTGTGAGGAGTAACTAGAGCTTGTGTATAAACACCACGGTTGAACAAGGAGCATATTTCTTCTTCCCTCTCTGAATCTGTACCCTTCCCCTTCTCGCCAGTGCTACAATTTCCTCTGGCACTTGAGACAGACATATGTTATTTTCAGTTCCACGACTTTCTAGTTCACTGTATCCCCGCACACATGGCCCAGGAACTGCAAATATAAATACATGTGGGCGTCTGCATTCCAACCGCTGGACCCTCGCCACTTTTTTTTAATGCAATGTAACTCAAGTGGATTGTCATCGCAGCCAAGCGGCGTGACAAAGTCTTCCAACAAAGTCAACATTTTCCAAGCCCAGGCCTCTAACCTATCCCCAAACTCCTGCTGTTTGTCACCTTCCTCCCCCACCCCCAAATCGACAAACACACTGGGTCCAGCGGGGCAAAATTCTACAATGTTCTCTTATTACTCTTACCTGATGATAAAAAAAAAAAAGCCTAATAAATAAATACACAGACCTTCCCCACCAGTACTACACAACGCAACAAAAAACCCACAACAAGCTTCACCTCTGGATACTCTGAGAGTAAATAAGAGATTATTTGCAAATTCAAATGTGCTGAATTTCAGGTAGCAGCGGGCTTGGGCCGGGTGCCAAGCTGTGGCAATGGAGGCCTTTTAATATCCACTCCCCGCCAGGCACTGTCCGCTGGAGTATGCAACCAGAGCCGAGGTCTGGCAGTGGCACACAGACACAGAGATAGATGTTGGATTTTCCTCCCAGATTCAGAGAATCTGCAGATGACGTGGTTCATAGGGGACGATGGGCAGAGAGTAAGGCTGATGATCATAAACGCGGCAACTTTCGCTTCGTCTTTGCTTCCTACTGGCCATGCACCTTATCTCATTTTCATTTCATAAATAATTTTCCCCACTTTTAACAGACAGGGAAACTCAGACTGAGACCACTGAAGCCTTCTGCCAAGATCTTGTCCCTGTGAATCTAAGACCATGCACCTACAATTGCTGCTGAACGAAACAGCTGGACCTATCAGGTGCGGTGTGCATGTCATATTAGTTGTTTAATCCCCCAAAACCTGAAAAAATAGGTACTTCACAGATGAGAGGCTAAAGCTCAGAGAAGATCGGTGACCTGCCCAGGGTTATCTGAATAATACATGGACAAGGGTTGAACAATGTGGTCTAACTCCAAAGCCCAGGCTCTAAAACATGAGGCGACAAGCTTTTTCTATAAAGGGTCAGAAAGTGAATATTTTCGGCTGTGCAGCTAATCCAGTCACTGTCACAACTAGGAAACGCTGACCCTGCTTCAAAGCGGCCACAGACGATACGTAAACGAATGGATGCGGCTGTGTTCCAATCAAACTTCTTTCACAAAAAAAACGGCAACTGGGTAGATTTGGCCAATGGGCAGTAGTTTGCTGGTCCCTGTTCGAAAACACGGCACAGACACAACACACTCTTGGTCAAGGCCAGGAATCACTGGGCACCAGTTGGAGGCACAGAAACCAACACATGCCTTTGCCATCCCTGACCTCGCCTCCTATCACTCTTCCCCTTGCTCTCCTATCTCCTTGCTGCTCTGCAAGCACACCTGGCCGGCATCCTACGGCCGCAGGACCTTAGCACTTGCTGTTGGCCCTGTCTGGAGCATCCTTCCTTCCAGCTCTCTTCGTGACTCGGTCCCTTACCTCCTCTTTGCTCCACTCCGAACTTTTGGTTGGGTCTTCCCTGACTACTCCATCAAAGCCTACGAACCACATCCAGGTCAGCACTTCCTCTCTCCCTCCCCTGCTTTCTCCCTCTCCATAGCACTTACCGCCGTGTGAATATACGATCATTTTACTAAGAGATTTTGCTCATTTTCTGTCTGTACCTCCCACCATTAGAATGTAAGCTCCGGGAGAATAGGCCTTCTTGATTTGTCTGTTTTGGTCACTGCAATATATCCCCAGATCCTGGACTAGCACCTGGCAGAGTGAGTGCCCAGTGAACATTTGTTGAAAGACTTAATAAATTAGGGACTAACGGGAACTCGACCTAGAGCGAGCAGAGCTTTGCTCTGGCGAAGCTGCCCTGCAGTGTGGGTACTTGGCTGTGATGACTGCTGGGCCCACTGGGGCACTGCCCAGGGTGCAGTCGGGGGCCCTAGCGCATCTCAGCAGCTTGGCACATCTCGACTGACCATACGGAGCACAGCAGCAGTGGGGGTGGGGACATCTGTGGAGGAACAGCAAAGCTGAACCATCGCCATGTAATTTCCCAGGCCTCGTCTTCCCCACGCTGACCTCTGTCCGTCTCAGTGACTGCCTAATGCTTCTAAAGCCCTTTTAACTCACCCTTCCTCTGGGCACGGTATTATCTTTCTGGAAGGGAAACATCCGACGCCCTGTGAGAGTAACGGATGATTCAGGAGGCAAGCTTGGAGACGTTTCTCAGCAGCCCCACCAACCCCATCTCCGCCCTCGGTTGGGGGGAGCCATTTGGGTCTGTAACCTGACACTCCATTTTACAAATGAACTAATTTTCCATAGGCACCTTCAAGCTGGGAAACATCCCAGAGGTGGACTAACCTTTAACATTAGGTGTAATTAAGAATTAGCCATGTCACATAACCCGTGAAGCCCCGGAGACCAAAGATAATCAGCTGCCCCCACTGTGAGCTGTTTTCCATTGCAAGTCCCCCACGGACAGCACCAGCCTTGGGACCTGCAAGGCCCTGTACTGAATGTGTAACACCCAGGACCCCAGGTGGGGCCTTGCACAGCCAGAGCAGGCAGGGGAGATCTACCTCCTTCACTCACAGTGTGGTCACTGAGAAGAAAATCCCAGCCCTTGGACAGAGCTCCCTGTGGCCTGGTCTATGAATAGCCTCCTCATATAATGTGTCTCCGAGGTCACAACAACTTGTCGCCCCCATTTTATAGATGTGAACACTGAGGCTGATAAGTTCAATGATTTGTCCAAGGTCCCCAACTAGGAAGTGACTGAACCAGAATTTGCACTGGCACCAAAGCCCACGAGTGTAATCATGACACCTTAGAATTTAAGTCGCCTTTCTGAACCACATTGGGAGTTCGCGTATAC